CACACTCACCTTATGGCGCAGTTCAATGCGTCGTTGCAATTGATAAAACGATGAAACGTTGAGCGGCCCCAATTCCATTTCATCGCTGGTGGTATCGCTGGTGGTAACGCCGGTGGTATCGGTGGATTCTTCGCCATCAATATCGATGTCCATTTCGTGAACAGCACAATCTGTGTTCTTCTCGTCCTCATCGTCTTCAATTTTGAATCCTTTTGTCTGACGCTCTCCAGAACGTCCGTCTGAGTCGCCGAAATCGTAGCTGTTGCTGAGGTGCATCTCCTGTGCTGCCTGCTCGCAATCGAAATCCTGGTCGTTTTCAAAGCGATTCACCTCCTCGCTGTTAACCATATACTTCTTCTTAGCCAGCGGCTGGTGTAAAGACAAATTGGTTTCGTTTCTACGATGAGGCTTTTCCAATTTGCCAAAGGTACTGAACGCCGGGAATGCCTCTTGTTGTGAAGTGGATTTCTTAGTGCTGCTCTGTTGGGGGCTTTCCGTTGGAATTGCAATGCCTGAGTCAATCATCATGGTGGCTATGTCTACGTTTCCCACCTTGATTTGGCAGGTGGGCAGGGTACTGGCCCCTACCCCCTTGGGCTCCACCACACGCACACTGCTTAGCTTCATGACCAGATGGTGATGCATCGTATCCATCTGCTTCACTGTATACTTTCCGTTCTTTGGTCGAACCCCGTCAATGCTAACTAGCCAGCACATGGCATTCAATTGCGGGAAGGGATATGGCAGCATTTCGTCTGCCTTGACCTTCTCCAAGTTACCATAGTCCACATAGTAAACCGTGTACTGATCATGCTTGTTTCGCGGACTCTGTACTATGCCGCGATAGAGCAGGCCGTCCATGTGATAGGTGGCCAGCACCGGTTGGCCCACATCGTAGGCGTAGGATCGATTTCTTTCCTGCTGCTTCTCCATCAATGGTTTGTAGTGTTGCTCCAGCAGCGTGCGGATGTGCTCCAAGTAGGGTTTGTCGCTACCCAGCTCAAATAGATGCTTCCCTCGTAGTTCACGTTCGTGGCAATGGCCGTGAAGATGGTCTTGTCGCACTTGCGTGGAGTCGTCCAACAGCAGGTGGTACAGTTTGTCCAGTCGTTACTTGGTCCTTCGCCAAATCATGGAGCAGTTCAATTGGTGGCATATCCTCATTGTACACGAAGCCCGTCTGCACTATGGGCGCATCGATCGACTACAAACGTTGGTGGATTTATCAATCCTATTCACCAGGATTGTATTGCTTCATGTCCTGGCGGTAGTGGTGCCGCGAGAGGAAAAGCTGGCATTGTCCATCAACAGCTGTTGGTTATCGTTTAAATCTTCGTGGCCAAGTTCGCCTTCAAAGTTTCTTGTTTATATTCACAAATTTGATGCGAGCGGGCGAAAAGGGTCGGTGACCACGGTACGCGAGCCCAGACATCACGCTCTGAGACTTATCCGTAGAACCCTGACTCATCAAATAGACTGATCGTAGTGCTGCAGCTGATCTTAAAGAAATCAATGGCTCGGAGCTCCACTCGGTGCCACAGGCTTGGACGCCGTGTAAATGGCATCGATAGGCGCTGCTGGAATTCTCAAATTGGGCTCGTCTATTTTGGTTATGCAGTTCGGGGCACATCCTCTACCACCTGGCCGAATCCCGCAAGAGGACATGGTAGCGGCAAGATGAACTGACGTTCGTTACCACGCCTCGATGCCAAAGGGTGCCAAGTCGGACTGAGCCTGGACTTTGACAAAGCACATATCGCCCACTTTCCAATCGGTGCGGGGCATCTGATCCTCAGACATGGCCTCCGCCGCCGTCTGCATAGTCTTTTGCAGGTGTTCGATTTGCGACAGAAACTGGGGCAGGGTGACATAGAACTCATGCGGATGCCGGATGTAGAGAACTTTCACTTTTACCCGCTTGTTGCGGTCCTCATCTTCTGCCTCCGGCTCACGAAAGGGTGTCAGCTCCATCGCCTTCACCCTCTGCCGATCGAGAAATCGGCGGGTGTCGGCTCAAGGAGCATTGATCTTTGCAAACACTTTGTGTGTTCGTGAACATTCGGCTGCTCTCCCCACTGGATGTACAATGTCCTTGGGCGACCATTTGGACGGCAACGTTTGTTGTCTCAGAAACGCCGCGCGTGTATCTCAGCGCCACATAGACCACATCGTCGGTGAAGTTGATCACTTCTATGTGCAACTTGGGGTTCGAGGTGAGCTGCTTAAAGAAGGCCGTTGCCTCTGGAGTCCACACATAGGACAAATTTTGCAGGGTCTCTACATCCGCCAAGCAGCACCTGATTGTCCGCTCCGGTTCCCAGAACTCAGATGGCAGCACGAATAATTTGTCCCAGAATATTTTCTGGCAGGGGCCATCGTCCACCAGGCGAACAAGAACGTATCCTATAACGAATAATTTTATATTAAAGTTTATTCCTGAAGAGGTAACACTCACCATCGAACAGTATCTCCTCGATGCTAGCGCGTTTCCATTGGCCATCATTTAACTGCACCACGCAGCCAAGGTGCAGGCGTCCCATAAAGATGTGCTCCAGCGTGCTGAGGTTCAGGAAATCCATATATCTTTGCAGATTGCTCTGCTTCAGGCACCGCTCACCCTCAAGGTCGTGGCGCATCACATAAAACTCTTGCGGATGCTCCACATGCACCATTTGGATCATGAACACATCTCCAATCTGAAGTTTTGGTCTGGGCAGACGGAGATTGTTTGGAGCGTCTAGCTGCAATAATTTCAGGACAACGGCCGGAGGACGTCCGCACCGAGATCGGGCTAGGCCAGAGTATAAAAAAGACTTGCATATCGAGATGTTAGTGTTGTAATTTTTGGTGATCAGATCCACCTCGTGGAGATCATGGGACAGAGCCTTTTTGACGATCAGGTGAACGGAATTGCTGCAAGTAAGGAAGATGGTTTAGAGGTGAAACGAAAGGGATTTTTATACACATATCGCGAGAGAAAACCTTGAAAAATATATATAAGTGTTGATATGTATAGAATTTAACGTTCCAATACAAAAAAAAAAAAAACTTCATTTTAAGTAAAAATATGAATTTCAACGATTTACCAAATATTTTACTAAATTTGTTAAGTTTTCATATTATATTGTTCCAATATATCAAATATCAATATCAATTTAGCAAAAATATCGTATACTTTGATTGATTACAAAATTGTAAATATCGAATGATATTGAATTTAACGTTAAAATATTGATGTTAACAATTTACCAAAAACTGTATTAAACTTGTGGTCTTTTTCCAATTTTGTTTGTGGGATATATCAAACAGAATATATATTTTTCGCACACTATAGCAAATTTACAATATCTAGTTTCGTGTCAAATGATACAGTACTGATCTATATCCTAGAAAAGGAGCACCCTACCCTAGGATGAACCTCTTACTTTTTTACTATCTGCTTCAGATGGGTGATGGCCTCGGGAGCCCACTCCGAATTTGGGCCCAATCCGGGCATAAGCTCACTGAGTCTGCAGTGTACGGCGGAATATGGAATATGGGACAGGTGCTGCGGCATTTCTCGGAATCTGTTTAAAAAATAATGAAATTACTAACCGCAGAAACAAAATGAACTCAATTTATACTCACTGGCTATTGTGCATCTCGACGTAGAGACCAATGTCAGGCAACAAGATCTTGTAGGTGTCCTGTGTGGCCATCTTCTGGCTGACCATGGCCCGATAATAGCGTTCTGATCTTGGTGAAAGATGATGTAATGCTGGCCCACCACAATCTCCGGGGGATTGCAGTGACCGACTGTAAGAGACTGTGCAAAAGTCTCTAGCTCCTCGCGAACTCGCTGGGCCGCCTGAACGCCCTGTACGTAGAAGTCCTCCGGTGAGTTGATGAAGCGCACTTTTACCAGGACATAGGTTTTAATCCAGTCTCCTACTTCAGGACCCCTGGTTGTATTATTGGGCTTGGCAATATCCAAGGCCAAGAAGCTGTCCACAAAGTCCAGCTGATGATGATTCCTTTGCTGAAAACTATCGATTATGCCCGCAATAGAGTTGATGCTTGACTTATTTGACTGTCGTTTCTGGGAATTTGACATCGAGTTGAAGTGGTCTTTCTCGCTGAACGGTTGCTGCTGATGCTGCTGCTGTCGAGGTCCGTTGACATTGGACCACGTATCGTTCTCCTTGCCACAACTGGAGCTCAGGTAGAATGTAATGCCTGCGTTGTTGATGCTGGAGATGGTGCTATTACACTCGAAATCGGTCTTAAAGCTGACCTTAATATTGGGATCTATGAATTTACACTTGAACTTTTGTTTAATTATGCTGGGTATATCGATGTGTTCACTATAAATGCTAAAAAGTTATAGAAAATAAGTATGATTATCAAATAAAATCTGATATTGAAAAGGTATAAAACTCACCGATAGGGATTTATCTTGATCTGACTAATTTGCACTGTGTTAGGTATCTTCTGGAGGTGCTCTTCAACCAGATTGATGATCTCTTCTAGTCGTATATTGTTGGGCACGCCCATTTTGGTCTCTGAACCATTATCCAGATATTGCATCAAGTGCTATCACCATGGAAAGGGAAATGTTGGTGAGGAAATTGGTATGTACATATATGGGATTACCCGCAAACCCACCTTGATCAGTGCTTCGTAGACGCTCAGTGTGCCCATGGCTTCGTTGAGCTCCATTTGGGGCGGCAGACTGGACTCTCGCAACTCCTCGATGACCCGTTGCTCGGCCACCTGAAGCAGCCCGTGCAGGTGGGAGAAGTACTTGGACACACTGGTCAGCGTCTCGGAGGCATAGTCGCTGAGCTTCTGTTTGGCCGCTCGGACCACCTGCCGGAGAGTGGGGGAAATACCAGAAAGCGGTTAGCTGTGGATGATGATAGCCATGCAGATGAATACGCTGTACATTCTAATGATATCGCCGCAGTGCCCACCTAACCCGACCTCACCTATCCACCTTGCCAGGTGAATGGCTTTGCAAGCAATAGAGCGCGCGCGATCCTCTCGAGTTTTAATTGTGGATTTCCCAATCGGAGGCAATCGCTGGTTACCTTCTTCTCAGTGCTGTTAATTTAGCTTATAAACTGGCTTTTCCAGCATTAACTATAGTATAGATAATGTTTAAAGATTCAGCATTACAAGAAAATTGTATATTTATTAATTTTGCATTTGCTTTTTTATATTTTAGTATATCTATAAACAAATTGAAAAGCTTCAAACTATTATGACGACTGTGGGAAATCCGGTACTCAAAGCATTGTAATGAAATGAAAAGGAGCCAGGACATGTTAAGTTACATTTTCTCGTTAAAAACGTAAAAATTACTGAATACTCAAATTAAACAGGGCAGTAGGCAGAAGAAAATGTTGCTGGAAAATGCTGCGCAACACAGAAATATAGACAAATGTTGCTAAGAACATGGTTAGTAACATTAATGTATGCTGCCAAGGAAAACGTATATGTTGCAGAAGTCTAACATAGATAACTAATTTATTGTCTAATAGTATATATTTGTTATGGATTTTTAGCTAAATATTGTTGGAAACACATAAAGATTAAAAATTAAAATATATTAAATATACAATTATATATATTAATGTATAATGCCTCTGTTTTGAATATGTTTGAAACCAGAAAAATAGGTTATACAACCCATAATATCTGAATATCTCTGAACCCAAAGTAAACACTGTAACATCCTCTCTGTTGGTCTCAATTTTCAATCTTCTTCATCGCTATGTCGAGTGGCAATGATCATTATCAAAGACTTTTTGGCGTTAGTTGGGTTTTTCGAAAGTGATTGTAAAAATTACCGAAAAGGCTGACTCGGATCGGATCGGATCGGGCTTATGACAGCTGATTTGTAGCAGATGACAGGCAAGTTCGCGCCAACGGGCCACGTTCGTTCTGCCATAAAAGGGCATCCACATCCACATCCACATCTACAGCCATCCATCCATCCAAACAACCATCGAGCGATCCAATCTCAAGAGTTGTCGTGTAAATGAAACCATGTAGGAGCCCCGAATCTGGCACATCATTAAAACGAGACTTTGAGATCGTTTTGTCCGCCGCCTCGGGCGATGCGAGATCAATTCACTTGACCTTGTCAAGGGTTCCGTTTGGGCCAGAGAGTCTAATATATATCTCGACATAGACATATCCATTGTTTACCTTGTCTATCAAAGTCCGCACAGCCCAATTCATATTCACAGCTAACAAACAGTCCTCCGCCAATTAGTTTTAATGGCCACAAAAATACTTTTTTAATAATCCGCAATCGCTGAGCCCATTTTTAAATTATCGCAACCGGCCGACTGACTGACAGAGAGACGGAGAGACTGACTTCCTATACAACAAACATGCTTTTTCTTATTGGCAACATTAAAACAGAACTCTACGAGTGGCCAATAATAGTAGCAATAATATACTTTTGCTTCCTTTTAATTTAACCACAAAATAAGCAAATAATGAGGAATTTTCATTAGACGAATTGCAAACTCTCTTGATTTGCTCCTTAATAAAATATAAGAACAATGTGGTTTTATAATTTATATCAGTTCAGAAAAGTATTATTAGAGCACCGATAAAATGTACACAAGTACATTATAATCGTATAAATTATGATCTATAATAAGGAAATATTAAAGTATCCTCCGGCTAATCGTAAAGTAACCAAATATCAATCACTTCGTGATGCTTAATAGACTCTCGGACTCTAAACGCTGTCATAACTTGATTAACACAGGTTTAGACAATGATTTAATATAGCTTTGGAGATCATTATCATCGGCAGGAAAACATTTAATAGATCTTTCGGCAGTTCTACTCTAAATTTGTACATTTTTTTAATAACTAAAACTATTAGTGTTCAATTAAAGTTAAATAAAAGGTAAGTAAAGTAAAATAAAGTAAATAACAAATGTGATTATTAAACGCAGTTTTTAAATTGGAGTGAACATAAATTTTTGTTTAATAAACTCTGCGGTGAATAAGCCCAGACGGACAGTCAGAGTTGGTAAGTCGGTTCATTTTGGCCAGTTTATCAATTACAGACAATCGGACGCTCGGCCGGACACGCAATTTGGTGGCGTTTTGTGCCGCCTCGTTAGCCAGCTTTTCGACTTCGTAATGCCCCAGCCCCAGCCCCAGAAGCCATAACTGACTGACTGCCTGACTGTCTTGGCTTTTGCCATTAATAATTGTTTCTCGCTTTATATAATACATAATTTGTGTACGCTTTTCTTGTATTTATTTTTGCAATTAACCACGGGGAAGCAGCGACCGACGACCAACAGAGGTTTCTGCACGCGGCGGCCAGCTAATGTGATTATGATTTATGTGGGAGGCCTTGAGGAACTGCCTACCGCCATCACCCATTGGATTGGAGCGATCTGACCGATCTGACCGATCTGAGACCGATTTGACTGACTGCTGGCAGCTGCCGCAGTTTGGATTCATCTGGACAAGGCTAATTGCGAATGCTGGTCGACATGGCACAGGCACCAAATAAATCAGCGCCTCCCCTCGCTCTCTCTCTCTCTAGCTCCTACTTGGCGTCTCCATTAAATCCGTTTAAATGCAAGACCAGGCCAAAACCAGAAAGAAGACTCTTGGTGGAGCCGAAGAAGAAGCCTCGGCCAAGTCACATTCTGTGACAGCTAAAGACTTCCAATGCAAGGTCAACTGCAAAACTGTCTGTATTCAAGAATGCGCTTGGCTTTTGGCACTGACAGAAATAGTTACTTTTAAATATTATTAACAATTGGTGTATACATCTTTGTTTATTATGAAAGGTTTTTTAAAAGAAATCGATTGTATTTTATATATACAAATTTAGAATAATTTATATATACAAATTTAAAAGGAGTTATTAGACAATAAATTAAGCTTTGCATGCTGAGACTTTTGCAACATCAATGTGTTGCCAATACTAATAGGTGTTGCTGAACACATTCCTAGCAACATTTTTCTAGCAACCTTTTCTTGTGCACTCATTCTTGTTAGATATACGTTTTTATCGAATTACTAAATTATTTAATTTAGCTATCTTCTCATTAAACGCAAAAAAGCTTTGCATGCTGAGCCTTTTGCAACATCAATGTGTTGCCAGCACCAATAAGTGTTGCTCAACACATTCCTAGCAACATTTTTGCAGCAACCTTTTCTAGTGCACTCATTCTTGTTAGATATACGTTTTTATATTGAATTACCAAATAATTTAAAGCATAATTAAAATGTTTTAGTTATATTTTTACTTAACGCATAAATCTTTGTATTATATGGTGTAGTTTTATATATTGATCATTTATTTAAATTTTATTATACATTGATCCATGATCATACGTCGATGATGTACGCAAAAATCTGGTATCCTGGGAGATGGTCATTTATGTATTTGAAACGTGTCTCTGGTTAAATTTTTATATAATGATCTTTGGTGATCTTGAAGTGTCCAAGTATTCAATTGTGCATTTAAAATCAAGCTGAACTAGACCTCGAGTTCAGCTAAAACCCTTGTCGATAAGAAACTCTATATATAAACTACATAGTATTTTAATATTTATATTTATATACAAACTGTTTGATCAAACATCAAAAGAAAAATATTAGGAATAGTAAAATATATTTTAATAACATTTCCATCATATTTTAAAAACGATATTTAAAGTTTAAAAGTTGAAAACATTTTGAATATGATATAGGAAATTAAATTTTTGCAGGATATATGTAGATAGATAGCTATACCTAATTTGAGTATCGGTTGTTGATTGTAGTTTTCTTATTTGTTTTCTTTTAAGTTATTTGATTAAGCGGACAGCTTGGGAAAATTATTTTTGTTAAAAAAAATTGAAAAGACTTTCCATCTTATATTTGATTTTAATCTTAGTGAAGTTTCCACTTAAGTACATAGCAAACAAAACAAAAACCAAGCCAACAGAAACCGCCAAAAAATGAAAGGCCTCCAAAAAAGCAACATAGTGACACTCTGTGCAGACTTTTTTAAGCTCCAAGCCAAAAACTAAGAAATATGAAATGAAAAACTTAATTACATGATTAATTAGAAGCTGCGGCGGCTTGGGCATGCGTTTTTTTCAGTTCTTTTGTGACGAGTTTTTCCAGCTGGCGGCTTTGAGATTTTCTCAAGTGGCGAAGGTTGCCCAAAATAGGGTTCGGGGAACTTTTTCGTGATTCATCGGGCAGGCAATTGGCCAATTGCGTAAGAGATCAGAGCGGAGCAGATCGAGCTAGTTAGTACAATTAAAAGTAAGCTAGCTAGCTAGCTGGCCAGCTTCGAGTGCTCTAGAGTTGAGCATTTATATAGATATGTATATATTTTTTGGAGGCACGACAAACGAGTTCAGCTCCCAAGCGCCAAGAGGAAACCCACTCAAATCTGAGTCGGAGAGCGGCAGATTGGAGTGAATCTTACTGCTGCCCAGATCTCGAGCCAGTGCCAGGCATATTCAACCACAACGATTGCAGTCAGTCGAGGTTGAAGCGTCTGGTTGAACGGTTGGGTTGGCACACACACCTATCTACCAATAGTAATAACTTTCAAGTGAAACAAGAAGTGTGTCTGTACTGTACGAGTTAGCTGCCACATTATCATTATTATCCCCTGCCACAGACACATTTGTGTTGTGCCATATTCATGTGGCCCATTGTCTCGGGGCACAACAGCAGCACAACCCATTGATGCAACATTGGCAACATTAGCACAACTAGAGCTCTTTTACCCGCCCGCTATTTTGGCGGTCTCTTGGGCAACCACTTCATATATAGGCCAATGCAAATTTTCCACCTGGGGAAAATGCAATCAAATAAAAATAAATAAACAAGGAAAAACAAACGAGTGCAAAAGGCTAATAAAAACGAATTGAAAGTAATTGTTATTTTAACGAGTC